AATGGGTTCAAAAGGACCAAGCTCGAATCGTTTTGTGCATTCTTGTGGAAGATGGTGGCTAAATCTGACACTAAAATTGGTTGTGCCCAAAAATTATGCAAAATGGGCATTGTTGTTGATGGACGAACAAGATTTAATGAGCGAGGAAATTACCAAAGTCACCAAGCCTCACATATGGCTACATACTTTGGAAATGTGCTATCCATTCCATTTGGTGGGGAAAAAGTGGAAGACCTAGTTGAAAAGTCGTTGAATTGGGTAGCTGATGAAGTCCATGATTTTTTGAAATGTGCTCTAACAAAGGAGCATTTTTTGGGGTTGATAGATTGGGTTGAGGTTCATAAACCGGTGCCAGCCTTGGCCAAGATATACTACAGTCGGAGTGAAGAGGGGCCTGCTTTTGTCGTGTCATCGGGGCAAAGATTTCCTGTTTCGAAGGTGGATTTCGGGTGGGGACTGCCGGTTTTCGGGTCGTACCATTTCCCGTGGGGCGGCAATGCCGGGTATGTGATGCCAATGCCGAGTCCGGCTAGGAAAGGTGACTGGATTGTGTACATGCACATCTTCAAAGGGCAGTTGGAGTTAATAGAGAAGGAGGCTGCTCATGTGTTTAGACCCTTGACTTTTGATTATCTTAGTCAAATTTGAATATTAGTGTTACCACAACCATTAGCTATGTCATTATCTTTAATAGTAGCATGATTGCTGCAACTATATATATATGTATGCCTTGTTTGTATCAAAAACATGCAAGCATATGGTTCATATCATATGTTAGCCAATTATTATGTACCCAAGTGTTTCGCCTATTTACTATTTAACTGAGTGTTCATTGGTCATATCAATCTCATTCTACTTTTCGTACAACTCAAAAAGGCAAAACTTGCTTTTTTATAGAAAGGTGGGGATACTACGCCACCTGCATGTTTTTAGTAAATTTGGATGTTGTTACCAAGCACCGCCGCCCGTGACTTTTTCTAGTGTCTGGAGAGGATACATTAAACATTGTATTTAATTAATCGAAAATAGTCTAAGTTTTAGATATTCTCACAAAAATAATTTCTACAAAACATCACTTGAATTCGAAACTATTTGACCATTCAATTAGATGGTTATTATTATAGTCTTTTCTTGAAGTACTGCGTTAGTTCATTTTGTTTGTCCCATTTAGATGTCTTAATTTTCAATTTACCTTATTTTTTGTAAGGATGATCTATGAATGAACACTTAAAAAATAGACAGTTTGGACCGTTGAAAAAAAAATTGTACATAACCCTAAAAAATGTCACTCAAATAAAATTATTTTAGGAATCCCTCAATAAAGGGGGATATATATAGCGGGCAGATCAATGGCATTATGTTTTGCAAGTTTTGACACAAATTTTCAACCATTAGATTTGAATGGTCTCTCTCTCTCCCCCTTTTTTTTTCTAACATCTTAATGGCTTACAAGATTTAGCTTTTATTCATTATGATTAATAATAACATTAAAAAATATATGGCAAAAGACAATTTGCTTAAAGTTCCTTGTGTGTGGGTGGGTGGGGCCCTAAGCCTTTTCTACGAGAGTCATAATCCATGTAGAACTGTAACAACCCAAAAAATAAGTAGTTAAAAAAAAAGCAAAAAACAAAGTTAGGGATGGAGAAGAAAAGAATCAGACACTCATAAAGCTTTAGAAGAAAGAGGAGGAGGATGGGAAAGTCATTACCTGAAGAATTCTAGAGGATAGAGAATGACAAAATAGGAAGATTTGATGAAATATTGATCGAGGATAGAGAAATAAGAAAGATTTAATCCCTTTTAATATTTGTTATTCTGAACACGATGTTAATCGAACTTTCTCTGTGGATTACACTTTAGAAAGTCTTACGTTGTTTTTACTCTTTGATTTATATATAATACAGATATGATAATTTTTCCTTATGTTTAACCTGGGTGTTGTTTTGTTATTTCCGGTTTGTGTGTGCAAAAGAAGAAGAGGTAGAAGACGGGAAGGGTTGAGACATATATATATACTGAAATAATGGCACACAGTTGCAAAATTGGGGAAGATTTATTGGTAAAAATTCTATCAAGTCTACCTCCAAAATCCCTTATGCGATTCAAGTGCGCGGCCAAATGGTGGTATGCGTTGATCAACAATCCCAGGTTCGTAGACAATCAACTCTCCAATTGCTTGCACAACAATCGATCAATCTTTTTGAAGCGATTACTCCCTAATAAGGACTTGAATGCTAGCGAGACCGAATCAGTGTTCTCAGTGCTTACTTTTTGCGAGGATGCAGATGGTGGTGCGCATAGGTTTCTATTGTCTAGGGTGGAGGACATCAATGTTCCAGTTTCTATGAGTGTAATGAGTGGTGGTGAAGAACTTAGAATTGTAGGCCATTGTCATGGAATCATTTGTGTACACGTAGATAATTATAGTAAGGTGTTTGTGTGGAATCCGGCAATTCAGGAATTCAAGCTTCTTCCCTCAGAGAAATACTTTACGGATTGGGAGTCCCTAGATCAGCAGCGTGCCCCGTATCTACCATTAAATAATCGGCTCGAATGGGCCATGGGATTTGGCTATGATCCTATATCTAAAGCTTATAAAGTTGTTAGCATTATATTTTATGGTTCGCAAAGGCATGCTCATACATTATATTCTGTGGTTATTTATCCTCTGAGAGTACAAGTGTACACGCTGGGAAGTAGTGAAGAATCTTCTTCTTGGAGAGAGATCAAGACTTGCTCTTTGGAAACAGAAACTACTTTCCTTTGGCCTGAAATTTTCCAGATACACTTGAAGGGGATGTGTTATTGGTTGGGATCTGAGCAACAAAAGGAATTCGTGGATGAGGAGGAACTTCGATATGAAGAAATGATTAGGCAAGTGATGGTTTCGTTTGACATGAGCGATGAGGTGTTTGATGAGGTAACGTTACCAGATGAGCTGCTAGACCATGAAAGAACTTTTTTAGGGCTTTTCATGCTGCTTACAGTGTGGAATGAATCTTCCATTGCTCTTTGTGTTTGGCATAACAGTTGTGATGTTAGTCCATACTTCGGAATGTGGCTGTTGGATAATGATTTTGGTGCTTGTGTTTGGACAAAACACGCAGGTTTTGAGCTCACATCAATCCCCATAATGGACCTCAGGGAGGGCGGCGGATATGTATTGGCACTCTGGAAAAGCGATGAGCTTCTTGTGGTTGACGAAGATGGATGCACAATCTGCTATAACCTCCGCACCGAAAACCGAATGTCTCTTCCTACTATACAAATTTGTATGTCGAATATGGATTCGCCAATTGTTTATGTGAATAGTATAGTTTCGATAGGTCTTGGGAGGCATCAAACTTGAGAGATGAGAAAATCTGGCAATATAGAATTTCTTAGTGTGTCATGTACACGAGTTTGATACAAGATTATGATCCAAGCTTCTAATTTCAAACAATTAATAAAAAGCACTGATTTTTTAAGAAAGAAAATTCTCATCTTTTTCTCACTGTACGTATGTACATTCTAGTTGATGATCAAAAGAGAGATAATTAAACTTGTAGTTGATTGACATATGCATGCAACTCATATAAGATTTTCCATTTCCAGACAAACATGATGACTATGCCTGTTGCAAAACTATATAGGGATGTGCATTAAGAAATCAAAACATAGATTATATATAACATAGACTGCAAATTAAGCATTACGATCATGATCATGATTAGTTCATTGCGTCACATAGCTACGTACACATTAATTCATAGATTATATATTCCATCCTTATGAGATTTATATCAATATAGCTTAATTCACCCTTCTACCTATAGGCTATAGCATATACCATACAGGGGATTGTGGAAGACATTCTTTTGACATCCTCTTGGGACAATTCACTGGATTAATTGCTATGTCATCAAAGCAAATTACGACTTCCAGCAAATATTGTTTTGTCTTCTTCTTCCACTCAGATTGCATGCAAAGGAGAAGAGGTCTTCTCCCGCCTATAAATGATCGGATGGCTTGTTCAAGGTCAGTAAAACGATATGACTTGCCTGGTTCAACCGAGCGATTAGAAAATAGAGTATGAGCTTTGTATTGCTTCCACAAACTCCTGGCACGGTCGAAGTATTGCGTCTGCGAAAATATGTGGTCGGAGCACTTGCCGTGTTTGTTGTATTCATATTCCCAGAAGTCCATATTTGACCGCCCACTGATGAAGCTTCGCCATGACAACTCCAGATCAGCTCGCAATTCATCATTGGAGGCTTCATTCATCTAATAACAATGGCAAAGAAAAATTAAATATCATTTCGCGCATTTATGCCAAGAAAAACACCAAAAAACTAAAACCAAAAGTAAACTAAACAAAACACAAGAAACATAACAAAAGTTGCATGCATTATTCTCAATATGTGTATTAATGTATGATAGATATACCACATCTCTACTAAATTGTGCACCAACGCAAGGTTTATGACGATGTTTGAAGTTGCTTGGCCACAAGCCATGAATGGTAAATATCCGTGGCAGAGGTAGGATGTTGCATCCCTTTCCAGTAATATTTTTGCAAAATACAAAAGGAGACTCCTGAACAAACTGAAAGTAGTCATACTGTCCAGCGGCATTGCAGCTCATGTTTCCGCCAATGTCGAAGGAAAGAGCAATACCTAAAACCATCGCAACTATGGTCTCCGAGAATTTCATGCTTGATTTCAAGTATATTTCAACAATTTATGCTAACTAAGAAAGGGAGGGAGGGAGATATTAAGGAAGATCTCTATCGATGGAGAAGGGTGATCCATCCCAA